TGTTAACAAGTAGTAAAGCGTTGTTATTGCTTTAACAAGTATTGTAAAGTGTTTTTACTGTATTAGCAAGTATTGTAAATTGTTTGTTGTACAATAAAGTTAATTGTACTACAATTTGGTCATCGTTAGCATTTATTTAACAAGCCAGCGATACGAGCCCGAGTATATTTGGGAAATCCCTCAAGGTTTCGAGGATAATCGTAACAATAGGTATCAATTGATATGGTTTTGAAAATGCTTTACTTCTAAACGATACGTGAAATGTTCAAATTCAGTTTAAATAAGGGAATAAGGTAACTGAAATATGTATATCAATATGGATATCAGACACTAGAAAAAGTTGGACATATTTACCAAGAAATAAGTGCAGAGTAAAATCATTCCTGAATTAATTTAATGAATGTAATCAGAACAAAACACTGATTTACCATGTATGTATTTGTGATAAAATAACATACACGATGTCGTAAACCTTTGGTTTGACAGAATTATTAATTTAGTTTAACTAAATTTTACTTTACCAACAGGTGGCAACCCTCTTCAAAAAGTTTGTCAGCTGTAACCTTCTTTAACCTCTGACTCCCATATGGCGATACCTATGCATTTCAATTACCCAGTTCCCGTAGGTCAATTGGAATTAGATTTTTTAAACAGGTGGCAACCCTGCTGCATGTAGGTAAGAAATAAACCCCTTTCACAGCTATTTCGATTGATATCAATATTTAATAATTCATTTAACTTATTAATTAATTTGAATTAAATTTTTTAACAGGTGGCAACTATTAAAAAACCTTTATTTTAAATCTACAGGTCAAGCTTTTTAATCTGACACCTCTTTTTTGAAAATCGAACGATTCTTGCGTATCTGATGGCACTGACAACAAATGAAAAAATTATTTTATGCATTAACAAAAACGCATTATTTCAAAAAGTGCTAAAAATGAACAGCTTTTTATTTTCTATTTTGGAAGCTAGAAAACCTTACTATTAAATAAAGTAATAAAAAAAACCTATTTTTACATATATTTTTTATTCATTTCATTAAAAGTGCCCATTTTGGAAATTTTTATTAAAAATATTTTTTTCTGGATTACCGTAGGGACACCCTGTGTTTAATTTTTTCCCAAAATTTTCATTCTTATAGTTATCTACTATATATATATAGAAATAAAAGACTTCAAACCCACATTTTATTTCAAGCAAGGTATTTTTGATATTTATTTCCATGAAGAGCTAAAGCATGGTTAAGCTCTTATCAAAATTCTTAGTATAAAATTTGTTGAGTTTGTCACCTTACCTTTTGCTTACAAAAGCCGACCTACCTAATGCCCCAAATAAATGCACTTGCCGTGCGCAACAACAATACGCCGGGCCAAACTAGGTAAACAAATATACGCACAAAAGGGAGATGACAAAAAAACCAAGCAACCGGCAGGCTAAGTGCAGACGGCGGGGTTGCTTGCAGGGGGAACAACAAGACAGTATACAGACTAATCAAACGAAATAAAATGCAATCCTTTTTTTAGGGCGCACCCGAGGTGAGGTCCAACCAAAAGGTTACGAAACCACTCGCACTACCGCCCGTGCTGCCGAGGATATCTTTAACCCGCCTGTATGACTGGACTCAGGGTGCAGGCTGCTAAACAGGATCGGAAAAGGAAACACAATAAGAGGAAGCCTGCCGACAACAATAACGCCTGAACACAGACACAACCAAAGAAGACGATACTTATCGGCGGTCGGTGGGCGTTCCGACCGCAAGGGTGCTCCTCGGGAATATGGCTCCCAAATCCGGTGCCGACTTCACCACGCCTCTACTGGCGCTGCTCCTCGAAACTAATCGCTGCTGCTACTGCAATCTAAGTGCCTCGCCTGGCACTTACTGAATTTTTATTAAAGATAAAGCACTTCGCACTACAAAAATTTATTAATCATTACTGGGCTACTATGTATAAAAGCACTCGCGCTCGTAATAAGGATGTTGCCTTTCTCAAAGCTCGCTTAGAACTGCCCCGGCACGCAGTCACAAGCCAGGCAGCAACCTACGCACCGGTACGCAAACCGTTGAAGTGTCAGCGCCGGTGTTGTTGGTGCCCGATCAATTGGCGCCGGCCCGATCATTCTAGAAGTGAATTGGGCGCTTTAGCGGTCGCCACCACGTCGCACACAAACAACACCATGGACTTGCCATTGCCATCATACGGCGGACAACAAAAGT